CGGCGATTCGGGTTCGGCGCCTATCGAGACGCAGCAGCCCGGGACTCGGGTCCGACCGATCCGGTCGGTCGGCTGCACCGGCCGGCCGGGTCGGGTCTTTGCCCGGAGGCCGCGGGATGGGCTGGATCAGCGCCGTCCGCTCGCCAGATCCGACGGCGCGTATGCGTCCCCTGCTAGGTTTCCAGCCCGCGGGGTGGACCCCGTCGAGTCCTTCCCCGGAGGCCGCGGGATCGGCTGGATCAGCGCCGTCCGCTCCCAGATCCGACGGCGCGTACACGTCAAGTTCTAGGGTTAGCACCTATAAGTGCGCTCATCACTCCCACTCTCTGGGCGCCTTTGTTTCCGCCTCCGCCTCCGCCGCCGCCGCCGCCGCCCACTTGTCCCCCACGAGAGCTCCCTCCCCACACCGCGCCGCTGCTCGCCGGTAGCGTTCTGATCTCGAAATCCGCCCCTGTTTCGCCCAGAATCTCGTTATCCTTCTCTGCCGTTTACTTACCATCAATTTCGATCTATCTCCAGGCATGGCCTCGGCAGAGGGAAGCGAGGTGTCCGAGCTCATCGCCGGGAACAGGAAGGACGCCGCCGTCAAGGGGAACTCGTCCTCGGGGATGGCGTGCGAGCTCCTTCAGAGGGCCGACACGAAGCCCCTTGACGAGCGCCGCTGCGTCAAGCACGCGCTCGAGCTCAGGGAGGCCGCCACCACTGCGGGTTTCCTTCCCTTCATGTGCCAGGGACCTGAGTAAGTACCACCTGCTAGATCCCGTGCTCCTGATCTCGATCTCGTGCCTGTGTTAGTATTTCGCGCAGCCTCGTTTTTGCTGTGGTCCTGTCCTTGCATAGTGGAGTTCCTCGAATATTTAGTGGTTCCCCTCCTTCAAATGTCAAATGGTATTGATAGATCTGTAACGCTAGAAACCCTGGCGGATTTGCATGCATCCTGACTAAAATGATTAATTCCCGCTTAATTAGACAAATCTATGTTCCTATTGTTATGGCCTGTTTGGCTGCTGTACTGATTCAGATTTCCTGCACTCTTGGTATTACGAAACTTGTTGGTATTTTAGTAACTTATTATAGGGTACTTTACTCTGTTAGAATAATGAAGTCTGATATCCATTATCATTTTCCCTTTTAGGATGCCCTTGGTTCATACCCTGGACATGAACGTGTTTACCAAGTTGAAGGAGAAGGATGCCACCGCCACCAAAGGCTACCCTGCTGCTGTGGTCCAGGGACCGGAGTAAGTACTTTGCTTCAAAGATCTTGCTGTAGTAAGTTTAGTGCTCCCTCCGTCTCATAATATGACAACATTTTTTTACACTAGTGCAGTGTCAAAAATGCTCTTATATTATGTGGGATGGAGGGAGTATGTTTTAGTGGCTCCCCTTCCTTCAAATGGGGCATGCATGGATTTCTAACCCTAGAAACCCTCGTGGATTTGCTTGCTGTATAATTTTGTATTTACCGATAGATAAATATATACTCTGATTGTTATGGTCTGCTTGGTTAATTAGTGATTCAATTTCCTGAACTGTCGGTCTCTACTTACAAAGTTGTTGGTATTTTACTAACTTCGCCGCTTTACTCCTTGGAGTTGTAAGTTTAGTGAGATCTGCCTCATTGTTAGGGATGCAAAGTTGTAACCTACAGGTTACCCTCTAACCTTACTTAGTTCAACCAAATTTGCAACCTTCTTTGTCTAGCCCTGTGCAATTGTCTCATAGATTTTTATTGTCTGCTAGGCTAGTTTACTCCTTTTTTTTTATGCTTACTCAGTAGTGAGGTTTGATTAATGGTTATATTCATTACCATAGGGTGCCCCTGGTCCATACCCTGGAGCTGAAGCAGGCTAACTACCTTGCCGCCATGCGTCAGGGACTGCAGTAAGTACTACATGCTCTGCCCTTATCCTGTGCTCCAGCGACACTGTCTATCTGTTTACTTCTGTGGTTATAGATAGCTAAATCTATATTGTGACTGTTATGCTGCAGCTTAGGTTATGATCTGTTGTATTCAATTTACTTGCTGCAATGTGTTTGCTTTCTGGGCATGTTCGTGCTCATGCTGCAAAATGTAGATCTCACGTACTGATTGTTGAACCAGTGTTTAATTCTGATTATGAGAATGCATTCAATTAACTTGCTGCAAAGTGTTTGCTCTCTAGGGATGTTCATGCTTATGCTGCAAAATGTACATCTAGTGTACTGATTGATGAACCAGTGTTTGATTTTGTTTAAGAGGTGTTTAGATTTTGTTAAATTTTTGACATCTCATCATTTTTTTTTTGGTGCACCGGTTCATCTTTCTGAATTAGTGGTGTGATTTTAACCCACCCCAATGAGCAATGCCTTGACCTCAACTGTTTCATGTTGGTATTTACTTCTATAGAATATCATTGGGGTGGGTCAAGGCATTGCCTGCAGAATATTTTAGTGGTTCCCCTTCCCTCATAGGTCATTGATGGATCCCACCGACTATTGGCTGCAGGCTGTGATCTATTTTTATCACTACTCTCTAGATTGTTATTGTCTGCTAGGCTAGTTTATGAGGCGGTTTCTACAAAGTTGTTATTTCAATTCTAACTTGGGCTACCTTTTTTTTTTAATGCTGACTCAGTATTGAAAGTGTAGTGAGGTCTGATTTATTAATGGTTATATTCATTACCATTTTAATCTTTTCTTGGGATATTATTTAGGGTGCACCGTACCCTGGAGCTTAACACACTGAAGCCCGCTGAGTACCTTTCCTCCATGCGCCAGGGACCAGAGTAAGTAGTTTATTTCCGTGGTTATAGACAGATAAGTCTATATTGTGACTGTTATGCTGCAGCTTAGGTTATGATCTGTTATATCTGGTGTATTCGTCACACCTAGCTCTGGAGGATCTATATGCAATTCAATTTACCCGCTGCAAAGTGTTTTGCTTTCTAGGGATGTTCATGCTTATGCTGCAACCTGCAAAATATGTATCTAGGCCTACTGATTGATGAACCAGTGAAATTTTGTTTATGAGTTGTTTTATTGTTAGTTTTTTCTGCACCGGTTCATCTTTTGAATTAGGGGTGTGATTGTTAAATGTAGCATTAAAACTTGTTCATGAATGTCTTACCTCACCTCTGGGCTAATAGATAATTTTGTTTATCTTTCACTCCAGGCCACTGACGCTCATCCCTTGTGCCCTTGTACGCACGATCCCTCGCGTAAGATTTCATTCCAACTTGCAATGTTCTTATGCTTGTTACTCCTGTACATTACTGATTTCAGTCGTTTTTGAACAGCGCATTTCCAGAATTTCCTAATTTCATTGTTTGTGAACAGTGTCTTCCCCAGTCAATCCCTAAGCATGTGCCTGCGCCGGGAAACCTGGTCATCGAGGATGTGGAGAAGACTGCGCTCGGGGTTCAAGACAAACTCAGGCAGAAAGGAGGACCTGAGTACTGTATGCGCACCATCAGGGCAACGGTTGAAATCTTGAAGGAGAAGCAAGAGAAGGCGTTGCGCAGGCAATCTTTGTTGAAGAAGTTCAAGGCATGGGCAGATGACACCTCCAGGGGGTTTACCTTCTATTCGATCGGGGAAAAGGTACTTCAAGTTTGGGACAAGTACTTCCCGAAGTAGAAATTGCAGTCAAGTTACGAAGCAGAACTTTGATCAGAATATGATTTGAGGCTATTTGTCTAGCCATGTTATTTTGTCTGTCGGTTTGGCTTTGTTTTGGCTGAGTTTGAGAATTGCTCCGGTTGCTATTAAATCATATTAGCCTCGACTGTATGCTGCATGAGAACTGCCTGATTATTGAAACTGAATTTTTTGTAGTTTGATCTAGATAGGCAAATGTGACTTTCATTTTCTGAACGAGTTTTAGTTAGTACTCCCTCCGTTCTATAAAATAGATGACTCAACTTTATACTAACTTTAGTATAAAGTTAATACAAAGTTGAGTCATCTATTTTGGAACGGAGGGAACGGAGGGAGTAGTATTGTTCAACCTCAGTTAGAAATGTCAACACAATACTTCCTGGGGGCAGCCTTTTTATCCAGATGAAAACTATCTGCAAGAATAGCTGAATACGGGCTCCCGATTTCTTTGGACGTTGTTGTTGCCATCTTGCTTCAGATGTCAAATACATTTGGACGTGCTGCTGCTGCATGGTTCGCTGTAATAGCTTGGGAGTGCAAACGAAGTACTTGGGTGCAGATTTCACAGAATGTCCCATACAGGGTTGCTTGCCGATGTCCTTTCTCATTCTAGGCCCCAATTGGTGTTCGAGAAACAGTAGCTTTTTGTAACATTCCATGCAACAAAATCATCCGGCAGGTGGACGAACCATGCGTTCTGTTTACTGCTGATTCCCATTCCTGTAGCTGCAATGTATAAATCTTGTAAATGATATGTATAAAATAAAATCAGAGGGATTATGAACTCAAGTCTCAACATTTTTTGTTGGGTGGCAATGATACCATTTAGTAAGATAGGAGGATCATAGCTCAAAAAAGGAAGCTGTCAATCACCCTCTCCCTCCGGAAATACTTGTCGGAGAAATTGTTGTATCTAGACGTATTTCCAGACGGAGGGAGTATTTCTTTGAAGGCATGAGCTTAATTATGCTTTTGAAATTCAAGATAAAGAAACCTATCACAATTGTTAAGAATAGAAGTATCTGGCAGGCACTTGCTTGGTAGCCACTTAATAGATCCTTATTCAAAGAAGCTACAGCCAGAACTATTTGAACTCACAAAAGAAACAGGATTATCTTTGGTAGCCATGTATATACTCTACTTTACTCCCTTCATTTCTAAATATAGGGTGTATAGTTTTTGGCATGGAAATTAAAGAACGCACATGGAAGGAAAATTTCATAAATTTTGAGCGAGATTACACCTAACTAATTGACATGAAAAAATAGAGGAGCTTGCCTAATATAAGGAAATGTAATCAAATCCCTAAAAACATTATCTAGATGAGTAGTGCAATGCAATACACCTTATATTTCGGTTTTTTCTCAAAAATCTATACACCTTACATCAAGGAACGGAGGGAGTATTATTTTTAGTATATTCATATACTATATCTAAAGCAAAGAAGTAACATAGTGGGTGGAGCCTGTAGGGCGTTTTGGTGCCTAGGTTCATCTGCACCCTGTTAGAAAAAATTCGTAAAAAATAAAAAAAAAATCAAAAATTCCAAAACAAAATTTGTACGGTAGACAATTTGATGCGTAAGATCAGCTCCAAATTTTAAGTCATTTGGATATTTGAGCAGCTCTCAGCAAAAAAGACAAATCGGACCGTTTCGGTGCCCAGACTCATCTGCACCCGGTTAGAAAAAAATTCATAAAAAATTCAAAACAAATTCAAAAAATTTCAATTTTTTTTGTGTGGTAGACAATTTGATGCGTGAGGCCCGCTCCAAATTTCAAGTCATTTGGACATTTGAGCAGCTCTTAGCAAAAACAGACAAATCAGGCCAAAACAGTATATGAACAATAAACATTTTTACAGACCCCCAATTGCAACGCGCGGGATTGAGACAAATCGGGCCAAAACAGTACATGAACAATAAACAGAACTATTTGAACTCACAAAATAAACAGCTCTCAGCAAAAAAAGACAAATCGTCTTGGCATATGTTTCAGACTTTTTTTTATCTCTACCACATCTGAATAATCAAATTATTTTTTTCCATTGCAACACGCGGGCATATTTACAATAATGTTATAAACAGAGCAATACCAAACATGCTTAAATTTTCAGGACATGCTACAATAGGCACTATTTAATCATCCCGTTGCAACACACAAAGCCTTTTGCTACCAACTCCATAATATTTGTAAACAAAAGAGGAGTGCAGATAGCATATGATGCACTGTAATTTCTACTTTCTTAAATTTGGTACGTCCAGGATTTATGATTTACCCAGACAAGATGGATCTGCAATTTACATGGCTTACCTATTTCTTGGATACTTTTCATTTCTTGAACTGTATAGTGAATTCTCGCACATACGTGAACAAAATCATGTGGTCATGATGGTATATATTTGATACAATACGTATGTTTTGCCTTTGTCAAAGTTCTCGGACACCAAAAGCTAAAACACATGGTTTCTTAGTTGCCTGTTTGTAGGATTACTAGAAATGCTATTAAAGGGTGGTGCATCGATTATGAGGCTACCCAAAATAGAGAGAAGCAATCTCTAATTGCTGAATATAACTGCCTTGATATTATTGCAGAATCCCAACCTCTTTCCCCTAACTCCAGGAATAAAATTATATCTATTTCAGGTGAGCTGAATGATATCTGGACCAGGGAGGAGATCAAAGCCAGGCAGAGGTCCAGAGAGAGGGACATCGTGGAGGGAGAACATAATACTGGATACTTCAAGGCCATTGCTAATCAGAAAAGGAGAAAGAAACAAGTACTGATGCTGGAAGGAGAAAATGGTCCCGTGAATGATCCTAAAGGTATTCTAGATGTTGCTGTTAAATTTTATAAGAAGTTATTTGGATACCAAGATAAAACTGACATCACCTTAGAAGATGAATTTTGGGGTGATGATAGTAAAGTTACTAGTGCTCAAAATGATATTCTTAACACCCCTTTTACTGAGCAAGAAATTAAGGAGGCAGTCTTTGGCTCTTATGCTGAGGGGGCTCCTGGACCTGATGGGTTTCCTTTTTTGTTTTACCAGCAATTTTTGGATGTTATTAAGAATGATTTGTTTGCTCTGTTTAGAGACTGGGAGAAAGGTGAGCTAGATTTATTTAGACTCAACTTCTCTCTACTTACCCTAGTTCCTAAGGAGGTGGAAAGTTTAGACCCTTGGCTATGACTAATTGCAGCTTTAATTTTTTTTCCAAGTGTGTCACCAATAAGTTTGGCCCCATCTGTAATGAATTGATTTCCCCTAATCAAACTGCTTTTATAAAAGGCAGGTTTATTGTGGAAAGCATTGTAGCTGCACATGAAATAATTCATGCTGTTCATGCTAGGAAAATGTCTGGTTTTGTTTTCAAACTTGACTATGAGAAAGCTTATGACATGGTAAATAGAGAGTTTCTAGTAGATATGATGTCCACAAGGGGCTTTAGCCCTGACTGGGTCAATAAAATTAAGTCTTTGTTATATAATGGATCTGTTGGTGTTAGGTTAAATGACATGAACAATTTTCTTGACTGGTAAGGGAGTAAGGCAGGGAGACCATGCTTCACCCCTACCGTCTAATCTTGTATTAGATGTCTTCACTAGAATACTAGACAAGGCATCTTCTAACAAGTTTATTGAGGGGGTTTTCCTCCCTCTAATCCTGCTGGAGTAATCAGCCTGCAATATGCAGATGATACTCTCCTTTTTCTAGGCAATAGTTTAGACCAGGCTAAAAACCTAAAGTGGCTATTATCTTGTTTTGAACAGATCTCTGGCTTGAGGATCAACTTCCATAAATGTGATTTGCTACCCATTAATATTAATTCTGATAGGGCTAATATTTTTGCCCAAGTCATGGGTTGGAAGCTGGGAAGTTTTCCCATTAGATACCTTGGAGCTCCTCTTCACTACTAGGAAAAAGCCTAGCAGCAGCGTGGGTTCTAGGTATATCAGTAGCACGGGGACCGGCGCTACTAATAAGACCCTACAGCTAACCCATAGCAGCAGCGCGTGCGCGCCCGCGCTATTGCTATACAAGTGTAGCAGCAGCGTGTTACGTAGAAGCTCGCTACTGCTAATAGCTCTAGCGCGTTTTGGCCGCACTCGCTACTGCCAATTTTAGTAGTTTTTGATTTTTTTTTGCATATTTTTTTTGTATTTGAACAGGCTTTATACAAGAATCTTTAGCACATACAAATGTCATCATCATACACATACAAATGGCTGTGAGACCACAAATGTAATCATAGCATATACATACAAATAGTCTCATCATAATCATCATCGAACACAAAGTGGTATCTCATCATCATCTCAAAAAATAGCGATACATGCAAGTCTCGAATCATATGCAAGTTTCATCGCTACAGAAAGTATACAAGTTCAACCGACACATATCATCATCATCGGCATCGTAAATCACTAGAAGTTCCATCCTTCCATATCATCAAGGATGGACCCTAGCTTCTTGAACGGCGTGAGGTCTAGACGTTGCATGCCTATGCAAGTTCGGACGTCAACTCGCGATATAGGGCCGTTGGGGAACATCCCCTTCTCATCGACGACTTCTTTCATGATGATCGTCGCAATGCCCCTTTGGATGCGAAATAAGTCATCTCTAAGTTTATAATCCGCTTCTCCATGAGATACTAGCCACTTGTGGATATGATCATCATTTCTACTTGTCATGGGAAGCTTTTGGTGATCCCTGCTAAACTCAATCATGAGATGGACGATGTAGAATCCATCCTTCTTGCTTGGTTTTGGGACATCGATGCAGCAGAAGTTACTTTTATGCACGAAACCCATCTTCTTGTTCCTTTGTTTCTTGATCTGCATGTGGCCACCTCTAATGCTGAAGCCTTGGAGAGCATCATCTAGAATATTCATTATGTGGGTGTAGTCCTTTTTCTCGTAGTCTCTGGAAGGGTCGAAATACACAGCGTGGGAGACTCGCGGGTAAAGAACGATAA